ACCCTGATATTCACTACAGGTTCTGCCAGATCACCCACCTTTGTCGATTACCCACCCAGCTGTGGCAGCATGGATCTTTAGACTTCCCTGCGGATCACAACCGCTGATCCTTTTGCTCTGTTAAAAAGAGATACACTGCCCTGCCATTTTCACTCGGCTCTCCACAGTGTGAGAGTCTAGTGTAGTGTTTCTATCAAGTTTCCAGGTGATGCTGATTCACGAGACCCCGCTTTGAGAACCATTCATCTGAGGTAGTTAGATGCAGGGACTCTGGGGCTAAGCTGCTGGGTTCCCAGCTCTGCTACCATCTAGCAAGGCCACTTAGGGCCACAGGTGCCTCTTCTGTAAAATTGGGATAATTGTAGTCCTTACCTTCTTGATAACCCATGTAAATTTTGTGCCTCGTTTATAGTAAGTGCTCAATAAAATGCACTTTTATTCATATAGCAAAAAAACCAGCATTTCCAGGTTTCAGTCCAGGCTGTCACACTGGTCGTGTGTCTTTGAGGACATCATCTCACCTCAGTGTTCCCATCTGTACTAACAGGGTGATGATGACCCACTTTACAGTCCACACAGGGCTTTCTGAGGATTACGTGGTATCTGCAATGAGTGCACTTTGTAAATGGTAAGCACTGCACAAAGAGTTGCAGCGAGGTGTTGGGGGTAACAACATGAACTTGAAGAAGGGGACCTAGCATGAAATATCAGAAGAATCTGCCTCTGTGAGCCCATCTCTAAAATGAGGGAAATATTGGTGAGGGCCTCAGAGGAGCTACGAAATGTCCTGAGAACCCTTGCCTGTGCCTCGCTCTCACCCTCAGCTAGTACCAGGTTCTGCCCAGCTACTGAAGGGCAGCGCTGGAGCCTGGGCCCTGCCTCGTCCCCTCCCACAGGTCTGCCACGGAGCAGCCACCGAACTTGAGCCCGTCCAGCTTGAAGCCTGGGCGGCCTCCCCCACTGGCCACCACGCCCTCGTAGACCCTGGAGCCCCCAGCTCAAGGGGTCCTGATGAGGATGAACAACAGAAAGGGTGGGGTGTCCTGCCCCAGCTCACCCGGGGCGGCCCTCAGTCAACATCTTCTCCCGGCAGAGGCCCTGTCAGCCCCCTCCCAGGCTGCCTCCAAATATATTGCCTCTGGGAGCCATCAACTCTGGAAGTGAATTCCTTGCAGCCATCAGAGGTTTCACAGCAACTTCATTCTCCAGGAGAGAGGAGGAATAGCCCCTCCCTTCTCCAGGAGGGGAGGGGGCAGTCAGAGGCCTGTTTAATTTAATTTAACGCACCATGGCTTGCCAGGTTGCCCCTGGTAACAGCTTCAGCTACTGCTTCAGTTACAACCAGAAGGATTTTTAAAGAGACAGCTCATTTTAAGACCAGAATTGCACTGCACAGTGAATGGTCTCTCTCTACGAGGGATGGAGGTTTGGAACCCAAGCACAAGGAGGTCTCAAGCCAGGCCTGTTTATACCATTAACTCCACTTCTAATTTGCAACCCTATAAGCCCTCCTGCAAATGGTACCTTGAGTGGAATCTGAGGAGGGGCTCCATTTGGAATTTATCAGAGAGATGTCACTCAGCTAGCTACTTCTCTGAAAATCACAGTTTTAGTCTTCAAGGAGAAGGAAAGAGAGTCAACATTCCGGAGTTGCGCCGGCAATTCAGGCTCTCTGCCACTAGATGGTAGTATTGCTTACTTAGTGCAAACGATTACCAGGCTTAACTTATTCAAGACTATCCCAACAGTGGTGAAACCATTGGGTTTCAAGTCTGGAGAGTAACCAGCGTGTCACCCTGAGCAAGCTGCTTCACCGTTGTGGTCTCAATGTTCTCAGGGGTATAATAATGGGATTGATCAAAACAACCGAATGCTGTTGATAAGGGTTGGGGCTAGGACTATGAGGGCATGAGTTTATGTCCCAACTCTGTCATGTACTAACTGTGTGATTTGGACACATAACTTAATTCCTTGCATCTTGAATACCAAACAAGAGGGTGGCTATGACCCAGGGAGAGCCTGAGAATAGCACATTGCTCTTCAACCTTGGGGACCTGTGGACCCTACAGGGCATCCGAGACCCTAGGAGTACAGTTGTGGGGGGGCTGTTAGAAAGTGGGGTAAGGCAGGTTGGCTCTCGATGCCAAAGCCTGAGACCTCGACACCCCATCTAGAACTGAAATAGGGTAAAGCAGCCTCCCAGACACTCCTAACCCTGCATGTCTCTGACCCAGACCAGGAGAAAGGGGGCAGTATTTATGGATACTTGTGGAAGGCTGGGCACTGCCTCACAGTGCCCTTTCGCAGGTAAGGATATAGCCTCTAAAGGGTAACACATCCAGCCAGGGCCACCCTGCTCTTGTGGCCAGGCCCGTTAGCCTGCGAGCCCCTGCTCGGGCACTGCCGCCCTCTCCTTGTCTAGTTCAAATGCTCTCACTGTGGTCGTGATTCCTTGTCAGGAGCCTGGAAAGGGGGGCGGGTTCTGTGTCTCCCCACCATGACTCAGCCTGGCCCAACTCAAAGTGGGCATGAAACCAGAGGCCGCGGGATCATACCCACCGGCAGCCCGGGGGCCTGAAGCACACGTGCTTTGGTCCTTCATGTGGACAGGTGCTGAACTTGTGTCAAGGTCCTTGGCCAGCTTGGCCATGAACCTGAGTCCCCTTCCCACGTCCCAGGTCCTGTGTAGGTACAGCAGGTTAAGGTTATCTGGCAGCCCATCCCAGCTTTTTGCTTTGGTCAGTATTCTCCACTGAGCTCCCATGGATGCCCCTTGATCCTTAGACCTGCCGGTCTCCCTTCTAGACAGCCCTGTTCCCAGCCAAAGCCCCCATACACATATTCCCACCTAAGTTAACAGGGTAACTTTCCAAGGTGATGTGGACGTAACAACACACAGGGTCCTGGCACTCCCCAGCTCAAACCCTTGCTATGGCTCCCCATTGCCTTGCAGATGACTTCCTGGTTCTGAGCCTGGCATTCAGGGGCCCCTCCTGATGTGCCCCTGCTGGCTCCTCCCTTCACCCCTTATAACTGGGGTGCTGGTCACTCCAGGCTGCATGCAGCCCCTGACACACCTGCTCACTCATCTCTGAGTTTTTGCACAAATGTGCTCTCCATCTGATGTCCTCTTGCTGTATCCACCTTGGTGGTTCCTACTTGTCCCTGAGAACTCTGCTCTGGCACGCCCTCCTCTGGAAGCTTTGGGGGTCCCCCTGGATCCTGTAGGAAACCTCCTCCCACAAGCCCTAGTATTCCTTCTGCTTATTGTGTCTTGGTCTGACTTTCCCGCCAGACCTGGCTTGGACCTGGGCTCACACCTCTCTCCTATGGGCAGTCACACCACTCACTGGGATCTAATCACAGGTCCCCCTTCCTCTCTCTGAACAGGCCGCCCCAGAACAGCCACCGCCTAACTTGTCAGTGTTAGCTCCCCCCACGCCTCCATTCTAACTCACCATGCTCCATGCTCAACTGCCCACACGTGTCCAGGCTGAGCCTCCATCTGGAATGCCCTTGTGCCCCACCCTCTGAAATACCACTCCAATTCAAGACCCACCTTACAGCCCACCCAGTGTGTGTGTGTTAGCCACTCAGCCATGTCCGACTCTTTGCAATTCCATGGACGATAGCATACCAGGCTCCTCTGTCCGTGGAATTCTCCAAGCAAGAACACTGGAGTGGGTTGCCATTCCCTTCTCCAGGGGATCTTCCTGACCCAGGGATTGAACCCGGCTCTCCTGCGTTGTGGGCAGATTTCTTCACCATCCGCCCTCTGTGACACCTTCCAAGTCTTCTGGCTGGAACCGGCCTCCCCCTCCTGCTCCACTTGTCTGCGTCCACCTCTTGGTCTTGATCAAAGTCTGCTCCATATTATAGTTATGGGTGAGCCAGTGTGATGAGAGGAGCAAGGGCTTTGGAGACTAACAAATGGGGTTCAAATCCCAGCTCAGACTCTTGCATGCTGTGTGACCTTGGGTGAGTCATTCTACCTGTCTGAACCTCAGTCTGTGCCTCTGTAAAATGGGAGTGACGCCTACCTCTTAGGTTGTGAGATTGAGATGATGGGTGTCAGATCCTGGCACATGGCAGGTGCCCCTTCAAGCCCTATTATTTATGCCTGAGTCTGTCTTCCAGGCAGGTTGTGAGTCCACCCAGAGTGCGGGTCCCATTTAGTGCCACAGCCCCATAAGCACTCAACACAGGGCCTCACACCAGAGATGCCCAGAAATGCTGGCTTGACGGAACACTTCGTTCCAACTACTGAGGGTGGGGTGTGGAGGCATAATGGGACCCTAAGCTGAGAATACCACGGTGGGTGGGGGGTGGTGAGTGCAGAATGGAGCCTGGAAATCAACCACGGGAGATGAATATGGAGGGAGGGGCCGGAGCCTGAGGCAGAGCTGCTGATATGCACTGGGGGTTTTATTGGTTTTCATTAAAATTCCTTCCAGAGGCTAGAGCAGCTACTCCCATAAATAACGGCATAAATATTTTATCTGGTGCCCAAGTCAGTCTAAATGCACAGCAAAGTTGGCAAGAATAACAATGGGAAACAAGTTTGGGGGGGGTGCCCTGGGCTTCAGCTAAACTCACTCACATGCCCAAAGGGGCTTCTCAGGAAGGTGGAAGGCGAGAGATGGGGCCAAAGGGGAGATGCAGGTAGATGGCGGGGAAGAGAGAAGGCAACCAGTGGAGAGTGGGCCTTGCGGTGGGGGGACTGGGAGCCCAGGGGAGGGGAGGGGAGGAAATGGATCCCGCGCCTGCTATGTGATGGACCCCTTGCTTGGGGCATTCACTCAGGTCATCTTGTCAAATCCTCTGTGGTCAGAGAAGTGAAGTGACTTGCCCAGGGTCACCCAGCCAGTGGCAGAGCCAGGCAGGATTATGATCAAGAGTGTACTTGCTGCTTTTTGGGGTTCAGGGAAAGCATAGGACTCTATGAACAATATCCCCAGTGCCTCAATAGCAGCAGCACAAGCCATTCTCTGCTTCCCTAGATCCCGATGGAGGAGAAAAGGTGCTGGTACTTCACCATGGCAACGCTCTTCATCAGGTCAGGCTGGGGGTGGGGATGGGATGGTGGGGAGGGAAGGGGTGGGGGGGGGGCGGGGAAGGTGGGGCCTGGAACCCAGGGGGGAAGTGGCTGAGCCCAGCTCCATGGCAAGGGCGCTCCTAGTTCCCCTCCCTGCCACTAGCCTGGGGAGGACTCGGGGCAACCTGGGGACCACTGGGAGGGTCCTGATCAGCCACATCCCCTTCTCCGGCACAGGTTAGATGGCATATTCCTAGAGCTGGGCAGCGAGGAGCAGAAGAGGCTGCCGGCCTTCAACCGCACACTGGCCCTGCTGCAGCAGGTCCTCAAGTCCTCGGACCCCCATCCCCGAGGTCGGGCTCGTGGGGGTGGGCGGGGGAGAATGGGAAGGGGTTAGGCTCTCCCTGCACCCATGGCCAGCCCTGCCAGTCTTGTCGCGGTCCCCACCTCTAGTTCCGTTTCTCTCTCCCTCACCCTGTCCCCTCCACTCCCTCTTCCCCTCAAGGCGCTCACACCCATCACCCAGTGAGCGTGTGCCTGCACATCACTCCAAGGGCACATGTCCAGGCCTGTCTGTAACCCAGAGTGTGAGAGACAGAGAGCTGCCCATTTCAGCCTCTTGTCCCCGTTTTGTGGCAGGGGAATGAAGGCCCTTCTGGAGATGGGTGGGGTGGACCAGAGCTACAGAGCTGGGGGAGAGCTGGGGTCAGACAGCAGAAGGCACCTTCTGTGAGGGCCCCTAAGGGATGTAGAAAACGCAAAACAAGCCCTGAAATCTTCCTCCCTTCACTCGCAAGTCCCCTCTGCCCTCCTTTGCTTCTCCTTCTCCCTGAGTGGCCCGCAGTGATTTCCGCCCCTGCCCCCCACCTTGTCCTCCCAGGGCTGACACTCCCCTCCCCTTCTCCTCCCTGAGATGCCTCTCCCCTCGCCCCCCAGCTCTGGCCTGGTGCTACCTGGGGATGCTGCTGGAGAGGAAGGACACCTTCTCCACCACGCCCATGGGTATCCATGACTGCGGGTTTTCGGGAACTGACCCCCTGGACTGCTTTGGCAAGGTATGTGCCCCTGGTTACACTCACCCTCCAAACCTGGATGAAGCCTGACACCCCAGCCTCCTCTTCCTGGTACCCGCTGCTTCTCAGGGTTTCTCCCCACCTCCACGCCCTACTCAGGAAGTGCCCTTACTCCAGGCCTTTCTCTCCATCCCAAACAAAAGCAAAGTGAGTCAGACCCTCCCAATGCCTGGTCTGGCTTATCCCATTTTCCAGGCCTGTCTTCTAAGCTAGTTGCAATTTTCCAATGCTTGGCCTCCTGATGCAAAGAACTGACTCATTGGAAACGACCCTGATACTGGGAAAGATTGAAGGCAGGAGGAAAAAGGGATGACAGAGGATGAGATGGTTGGATGGCATCACCGACTTAATGGATATGAGTTTGAGCAAGCTTCGGGAGTTGGTGATGGACAGGGAAGCCTGGTGTGCTGTCGTCCATGGGGTCACAAAGAGTCAGACACAACTGAGTGACTGAACTGAACTGAACCCTCAGGCTTTTCCCCTTCGCAGCCCCATGGCACAGTGGAAAGAAAATGAGCTTGGCACTGTGTGGATGCCAACTCTGCTCACAGGCCCTGTGACCCTAAAACAAGTCACTTCCGTCCCTGAACCTCCTTATATGTTGATTATGTGATCTGTCCACCTTCTAGCATATTGAGAGACTCAAAGAAGGTAGTGGATGAAACTGCCTACTATAAACTTTAAAGTGTTGTTCCAGCCTTATTCTTGACACCTTTTTCGGTGGCAGTTTTCACACTGAGCTCAGGTTTTTAAGATTTTCCTGGAGGACAGGGACCCTGTGATTCTCATCCCCCTGTGCAGTCAGCATGATGCCCTCGGGCAGGTCCCTAGTGTTGGCTGGTGGGTGATGAGCAGTTTCTTGGTGAGAGATCTCAGAACAGATTGGAGCATAAACTCTGGTTCACATGCGCTTCAAAAGTTGTGTCTGATTTAACATACTGCCTTTGCCCCTCCTTGGGAACCTACTCTTTGTCGAGCACAAAGGTGGAAAGCTGGGGCCCCTGCCCTGCAGGAGTTCACGGTCTCAGAGGCAGCAACATACACAAGGCAGAAGCTGTCAGTAACAGTACTGGGAATGGGGCAAGTGCTTTGGCCCAGGTAGAAGCACCGTGTGAGTTTGGGGGAGGTAGAGGCTGATTCTGGCCCCTCTTCCCACCTGCCCTGGAAAAATGAGGGAGCACACATTGATATGTCTGAGCAAGAGGGGTTGACCTGGGGTCTGGAGGGATTCACTGGACATGTCCATGAAAATGGCAGAGAACATAGCAGTGAGTTAGGCTCTTGGGAGTTGAGTGCCAATGAGTTGTACCCCAAAGTGTTGGGCTCCATGATATGACTGAACTTAGAGCTGGAAGGTGGATATGGGGGATGAAAACTTTGGGGTGATATGGCCCTACTTAGAGATGACATCCCAGTTCTAGCAAACAGCCAGACAGATGGTTTGCTCTTACCCTTGTCCCTTACCCAGGCCATCGAGATTGCTAAGGACCAACTTCCCATCCTTAATCGCCTAGCCAAAATCTTCCACTTCCTCGGAAAGCAGGATATGGCCATTGGCACCTGCAACATGGCCCTGGACGTCCTACGAGATCCAGAGCTCAACTGGCAGGCGTACTGCACAAGAGCCAAGGTGAGTCAGCCTGCAGCTCTGCCTCATCCTGCCACTGAGAATCAGAGAACAAGGGCCAAGACCCTGTGGCCAGAGCCGGAGGTCAGGGAGCCTTCACGGTAAAAGGGAGCTTAGGTGTCATCAAGGCTCACAGTTTGCGTTCTCTAAGATTATCAAGTGAGAGAATGAAGGAGCTTACCACCCACTGCTCATCCCTTCTACAGTGACCTGGCTAGCTACCTGCCAGCCCCCTCTCTGATTAGCCCCTCAGGCAGTCAGACTGACCTGGGTAGAATTCTGGCCTCTCCATTTATCACTGTGAGACCTGGGACAAGCAAGCCACTTACCCCTCCAGACCTCCATTCCCAAATCTTAAAGATACAGATCATAACATCTGTGTTAACAGGTTGTCAGAAGACTAAGTGAGGTAACATCTAAAGCAGGTGCCAGGAGCATGGGAGGTGCTTGTAGAAGGCAGAGGGTATACTGGAGGAAATCTAATGTCGTAAAGCAGGGCTCTGGCTCTCAAGACAGCTAGCCTTGGTTCAAATCCCGCATCATCACTTACACTCTTGCCTAAATTCTGAGCCCCACTTTCTTCATCTATAAATAGGCTGAAGGTAATTGTACCTGCCTCACAGAGTTGTTATGAGGCTTAAATTAGATTCTGTGTGTAAAACTCAGTACTGAGCACATAGTAAGAGTTCATAAGTGGTTGATTACTACTGTTAGGTTTATTTTTAACTGGCTCACTGGCTCTTAAGGCAGTCCACTATGGTCATTCAGCTCCACAGATTACTAATTTAACCAAGAGCTGCCTGCCTCTGGCTTCCCCACGCTGGTCTCAGACCTGCCCTCAGGAGTCCCCGCAGAACGCACTGCTTGGGGACAGAGACCTGGACCTCTGACTTTACTTCGCTCCAGGCTAAACAGCCTTATCTATTACCTTTCATGGGACATGAGGGTGAATCTGCTTCCTGGGTCTTGGTCCCATTGACATAACCATTTTGCCAGCAGTTACTAGTTAGGGTCTCTGCCTATAAGGCTCTTCTCTCAAATGTCCAATTGGCTTCCTCCCTCACTTTATGGAGGGCTTGAAAAGGCAGCTGCTAGCAGCCATCTTCCTGAAAATGTCAGCCTCTCACCAACACATTGTGTCCTCCCGTGTTGGTTTATTTTTTCTTCCTAGCATTTATCATTCCCTAACATACTATGATGATATGTTTATTCCTAACATATGATGATTTATGTTTATTTCTACCCCCCCCCCACCAGCTAAAATACATGCTCCACGAGGGCAGGGAATTTTGTCATTTTGTTCTCTACTATATATCCTAGAACAGTACCTAGCACATAGCAGGCTCCTGATGATCTGTTGAATGAATGAATAAACTGAGCACCCACCAGCTGCTAGGTCCCGGCTAGAACATGTTCTCTCCATTGTCATGGTAACTCTCCAAGGAAGATCTTAGTGTACTGATTTTTCAGATGTGGAAAATGAGGCTCACAGAGGTTATGCAAGTAAAGAGGAGGAAGGGCTGGAATTCAGCCAAGTTCAACTGGCTCCAAAGCCAAAGATTCCCACCCCCACCTTATGAAGCTATCTTAGAACCAGAACCTACTGATAGCTATAAAGTATTAATACCTTCAATGACAACAACCCCTTTTTCTTACTTCCTCTTTCTCCACCTCTTCCCTACCTCTCCTGAACCTCTAGATTTTCTGAATGCTCCAAACAGATGTGGGGGGAAAGGGAGGAAGTGGTGATGAAAGCGAGGGTCCGGAATCATTTGTAATTTGATGCTTGTAAGCTGGGGCCACCTGCCATTCTTCCCACACTACTTGCTTACACAGACCCTCACAAAATCAGTGCTGCCATCCCGTCTCAAATAACTCCCTCCCCTAGTCAGCTGTATCCCATCACTGTTTATTTTTTCATTGCACTCGTCACCATTTGAAGTGGTACCGTTCACTTGTTTATGATCATCATCCCTACTAGAATGTTAAGTTCTGCCAGGGCAGGGACCTCGTCTATCTTATCACCACTGCACTCCAGTACCTAGCACAGGGCCCGGCATATGGTGGGCACTCAGGACATATTTGTTGAATGAATGAGTGAGAGAATGAATGAATGGCTCTTACTTCATCCAACCCCCTTCATTGCACAGAGAGGGGAACTAACGCCCAAAAAGAGGCTGGTCCAAGCTGGCACAGGACCAAGACTTAGCACTTCTGAGTCCCAGTCTCAGGGGCTTTCAACTGTACCACAGAAACTCCCTGAGTTGCTATTGAGGAAAAAAACACAGGCTTTATTGACGACAGTAAGGAAGGCAGGGGTCCTGGCTTGGAGCATCTTCCCTCAGCTGACTCTTTGTGGGCAGATCCACATCAGAGCCTACCTGCACGACCTGGAGCGAGGCAAGCTGGGGCTTGGGGGCATGCCTGACAGGAACCACCTGGCTTGCGCCAAGGCTGACCTCGAGGAAGTGGTCAAGGTGTGCCCAGGCCTCAAGACCTACCTGGACATCGGCCAGGTAAGGCAGCCTCTTGGCTTGGGTAGTCAATGGCTTACTAAAAAACCAGTGAACTCTGTTTCAGTCCAGGCCTGGGCAGTGAGGACACGGGGAGGCATGTGGGGGCATCCTTGTGCCTGATAACAGTACCTGCCTCCTACAGCTACAGGGAGGGTTATAGATGGTGATGCACCGACAGGGTTCAGAACAGGGCCCAGTTCTTTCTCAGCGCTCAGAAAGAATGGGCCATTATTCTGTATCCTTCTGTGCCTTCTGTGCACAGGGAATTATTACGGAGAGGTTACAATATCTTTTGTGAGAGAAAACTGCGGCCCTGAGAGGGTCCCGCTCAAGGTTGTATGGCCAAGATTGGTGGGGCTGGAGCTGGAATCAGAGACAGCACTGTCTCCTTCTCCAGGAGAGGGAGACCAAACTTTGCCATGAATAATTGTCGAAGGAGGGAAGGGTGGGAATGACTGCATGGAATTTTTTAAATGTGGGAATGGAATGAAGGGGGAGCAGCGAGAGAGCCGGGGAGGAAGGCTCATGCCGCCGCCCCCACCCCAGGTCTACTACTACATGGGCGTGGACGCCGTGCAGGAGCTGCTGGCGGTGGACGAGGCGGCGCTGAACCAGGCGCTGGTCTTCCTGGCCAAGGCGGGCGAGTCGGAGCTGGGCGCCACGCTGCCGGAGCTGCAGCTGCTGCGCGGCAAGTGTCTGCGCATCAAGGGCGAGGAGGCCAACGCGGCGGCTTGCTTCAAGCGCGCCGTGGAGCTGGACGACGCGGGCTGCAGCCACGCCGAGGGCTTCGGCTGTCTGCTCGAGGCGCTGCTGGCGCAGTGGAGCCAGGCGCAGCTCAGCGACGGCGAGGTGGGCAGCGAGGTGGACGTGTGGCTGCGGCGCGCCCAGGACAAGTACCCGGCGGCGCGCCTGCGGCAGGAGCTGCAGCGCGTGTGGCGCGCGCACACGGACGAGGTGCTGGGGCTGGCCCGGGCCTTGGTGGCCCAGGGACGGCCGGCGCTGGTGCGGCTGCTCTTCGAGACCATGGAGCGCAAGGGCGAGGGTGCGAGTTCCCTGCGGGACCGCCGCGCGTTCTCCTTCTGAGGGTCCTTGCGGCTCCCCTTCCCTCCCCACCGCTCGGAGATGGTTGGACCTGGTCCAGGCGCTGGAAACCGGCTCGCTGTGCCATAGGCTGGCGGGTAAGCGGAGCCCATCAGACTCTTCCGGGAGTTGGAATGGGGACCTGAGACACAAGGACAGTAGGACGTGTCCACGGAGGCAACAGGGCCTGATCCAGGAGCGCAAGGGAGGCTGGCAGCAGACGCGAGGGGCCAGTGGGAAACTGCCAATGGGAAGGCCCAAATTGTGTAAATACGCAGAAAAATAACATGGTGTCTCCCGAGAGATACAGAGGATAATTGCCTCCATTTTGGCAGGTGCTCTAGTACGCAGGAGCCTGTTATTGGGTTCTCGTGAGCCAGGCTCTAACCTTATAAAAAGGCCCCCTCTACTTAGGTTGCCTGGAGTAGGTCTCAGGTCTGGCAGTGGGAGAAGTCGTGGCTAGAGCAGAGGGCACAGCTGCCAGCACACAGATAAGGGCGGGAAGGCAGTCTACACCTGGCTGCTCAGCGCTCTTTCCTGCCCTCTTCACAGCCTTCCAGCAGGCCTCCTTCTTGGCCAACTTGGTCTGAAAGACCCTCAAACTCCCTGAAATAAGGCCCATTGGTAGAACCTTCCCTTGACTTCTCTATTCTTGGGGGAATGTAAGGGCCCCACCCAAGGAAGTGCTGCCTGTGCCCAATCTCAAACCTTCTACCAGACACTGAAGAAAATCTTGGAATTTTACACTCTTGAAATCGAAGTCATAGAATCATAGATGTAGAATTTCATTGTCAGACTTCGGCTTTGATTGTTAGCAAATCTGGGAATCACCAAGCTAGATTTTTATGGTCCTACTAACAAGAGCTAATTTAACCTAAAACTGCAAGAGTGTTGGTTGTATGTAATCGCAATGGCAAGAGCCCCCCGCCCCCCGCCCCCCGCCCCAACTCCCTGGCCCATAATGGTTTGTGATGTATTTTGCATTTCCTTCCCCTACTTAAAAAAAAAAAAAGTTATGCTCACTGCTTTACTCATTTTTCTGACACTCAGATGGTAGCAGGGATAGGCCAGCACCCCTGCCTTACTTCTCCTGTCCCCAGTGATAGGTGGAGAAGAGACCGAGAAGTGCGGTCCCTAGAGATCTCTCATTCTGGGAAGACTGGGAGCCCTGGGAGGGAAGTGTCTTGCTCAGAGTCACACTCCCTAGCCTCTCCATCCTGTCCCTCCAACTTACTTACAGCATTTTTCAGGTTTGGAAAACTACTAATAAACTGATAACACTAAAGCATGAAGTGTTTATGTGTCACCTGTCACCCAGGGCACTCTGATATCCATTGGCATAATGCTGTCATTCCAGGTGCCTGTGAAATCTTGAAAGTAAGGCCTCCTGATGCCTCTGAGTTCCATCCCAGGGCTCATGAAGACTTCGTTTCCCTCCTTCCTTCCTCTCCATTGCAGCAGAGTCCGGGAGGTGACTAGACAGCAGGCAGCACACACAGCCTGTCCACTTCTCCCGCATCACCTCTCTACCCATGACTGTGACCTGTAACCTTCCCTAGGACAGATGGTGGTGGTTTAGTCGCTCAGTTGTGTTTGACTCTTGCAACCCCATGGATTGTAGTCCACCAGGCTCCTCTGTCCATGGGATTTTCCAGGCAAGAACACTGGAGTGGACTGCCGTTTCCTTCTCCAGGAGATCTTCCCAACCCAGGGATCAAACCTGGGTCTCCTGCATTGCAGGCATATTCTTTACCAACTGAGCCACCAGGGAAGACAGGAATCCATCTCTTTCTTCTCCTACTTCCCAGACAAACAAACTGAATTCAAGGTGGTTTGCTGGTAAAGCTGGGAAGCTGGTGAGGTTTGTTGCCTCCACCAGGCTTCCCAGTTTGTCTTCTTCCTTGCTTTTCCTGTCCCCAAGGTTATGCATTTCTCCCTCCATTGCCTCCTCCTCCTGCCAAAACTTTTCAATAAACTTTCTTTCTGATAATCTCATTCACATTAATCATATAAATGACTAACAAATACCCACTAGAGCTTTTGTCAGGAGTATCTGCATACTAGCCAAAAGTCGAAAAGAGAAAAGGAACCCCACTTCCAGGACTGTCTCCTATGTGCAAGGCACTTAATACTCGTAAACTCATTCAGTTCTCTCACCAGTCCTGAAGAGTAGGCACTGCAATCATCATTTTACAGATAAGAACACAGAGACACTGAACAAGGTCCCAGATGAGCATGGGAAGAGCTAGGCTTTGAACCAGACTTACCCCATTGTATGCTCCCTCCTGGGACACAGCCCTTCCTGGGAGATGTGTCACGAGTGGTCTCGAGTTGGGCCTGTGATCACCAACACAACCTGTCACTACCCTGCTCCCTCCCCACGGTGCACTAGTCTCCCTGCTCACAAACTGCCTTACTTCTGCGTTTGTACATCCTATTCCTCCACTGACTTTTCTTCCTATCATTTTTATCCCTAGTGCTCAGTTCAAACCTGCCTCTTCCAGGAATTCTTGCCAAATACCCCAGCTGTCATCCCTCACTCCTCAGGGCATTGTGTCTCACTGCATTGCTTATAATCCTTTATCCTTGCACCATAATGATCTCACCATGTCTGCTGCCCCATTCGAGGCTGGTTCTTTTCAATAAGGACCACGTCTGATTCAGCCCCATGGCCCTGCACTGAACTTGGCACATAAGATAAGCTCAGTTTGGGTTGTTGTACTGAGTAAACTCACAGCAGGGACGTGGCTACCTCAGTCCCAAACAGGTGACTCCATCACCGGGTCCACAAGGGCTGAGGGTGGGACCAAGACTGCCCCCCAGGGACCTTTGCAGGCTAGAGCTCAATGAGAAAGCATGGGCTTTCTTTCCACCTCCTCTCCAGCTTTAGGGGAAATCCCCAAATTTGTGGCCAGGAAGCCAAGGCCCAGATAAGGAAACTGAGGCAAGAGAGCAGGGAGTTGCCCAAGGTCAAATAATGAATCAGTGATAGATACTGACTTGAACCCCACCTCCAGACTCTCGGGCCAGTGATCTCTGCCCTTTGGGCTGCCTCCTTTGTCAAGTTTACTTCTGCCAAGTTCAGGAAGACTATAGGCCTCGAGTCACTCGCTTAACATTTATCAAGCACTTGTCAAGCGCCAAGCATAGCTCCAGGCTCTGGGGCTAAGTGGAGGGCAGACTAGCTCCTGCCCACACCTTCAGGGAGCTCACAGTCTGGAGCATATAGAGTGGGTCATGCAGGGCCTCGTGGGCCACAGTGGGGACTGTGGAAGACCCAATGTGATGCTCTCGGAGGTGTAAATTTGCAAAGCTGGCTATCCCACCCTCCACACTGGTCATGTTCATTCTGTGTTACTGACCTTTCCCCCAGCCCAGTGGGGAGGAGAGGGTGGCTATCCCTGGGGCTCAGGACCTCGCCTTGGCCACCCCTCTTCAGCAAGCCACTGCAGAGGCCAGGCCTGGCAGGCGCCTGGGATCACGGCTCTGGCTTGTAGTGGGAGGCTAGTGGGTGGGTGATCTTTATTCAATTACAGCTTCGAGTCCTGTGAAACACCCCTGCCTACTGGGCGGCTGGGAGGACGACTGTCTGTCACATAGCTGAAGCAGCAGGCACTCCTTAGGGGAGCACTACAGAGTAAAAGCCTTAATGACCCCATAATCAGAGTAATGAAGATGAATCGCTCCTTGTGCTGCCTGCCCATTCCTTCCTCTGTGTCTAGCAGCCAACATCAGATGCCAGAAACTCCTGTTTAGTCAGTAGGAGCAAGGCATGTTTAAGATCATGAGAACAGGTGAGATTTTTCAGTTATAGGTTTCTAGAAGCTCAATATTAAAAATAATCTCAGCCATCACCTCTTCCAGCCTCTCCATCTAAATCAGAACTCCTCTCAATAGTGAGTGTTCTGAGAGAGTATCTAAACCACTTGCATGCCTCTGGTAGACAGGCAGATCACTACCTCTTGAGGGCATCAGTCCATTTTTTAAAGTCTTCTGAGTTTGTCTTTCTATTGCGTTGAAACCTTCTTTTATATAATTTGTATGCCTTGATTCAAGTTCACCTTCACCACACAGTGAAAGTGAAAGTCGCTCAGCTGTGTCCAACTCTTTGCGACCCCATGGACTATACAGTCCATGGAATTCTCTAGGCCAGAATACTGGAGTGGGTAGCCTATCCCTTCTCCAGGGGACCTTCCCAACCCAGGGATCGAACCCAGGTCTCCTGCATTGCAGGCAGATTCTTTACCAACTGAGCCACAGGGAAGCCCAAGAAGACTGGAGTGGGTAGCCTATCCCTTCTCCAGTAGATCTTCCCGACCCAGGAATCAAACTGGGAGCAGATGCTAAAAAGCAGTCTGTGACCTTGAACAAGTCACTTTGCTCTTGCCCCCATTCTCTCTGTAAAGTATTCAGGGGGTGGGTGGCTGCCTACTCTACCAGCAGCCAGGCACAGCTCTGACCTGCCTCCAGCCGTCGGTGCCCAGCCTGGAGCCGACACACAGCGGTGCCAGCAGTTGAAAGCAGAACAGAACAGGGCTTCTCCCAACCCTAATCAAGCCCCGAGGGAACACCCTGTGTGGATGATGGTGGCTGGACGCCAAATGAAGTGAAATATCTCCTTTTCTCAGGCTGTTAACTTTTTTTCTTGTTTAAGGAAGGGGAGGATAATGACATTTAGCACTTTACAACTCAGCAGTAAAATGAGCAGATGGAAACAGATCCCCAGCATCGTGGGCATGCTTCCAGTAAGAAACCCTCCCTGGCTCTAGCTCTGGCTCCATGGGGCCGAAGTTACTGGCAGGGTTTGCTGATGGGGTGAAGGACACCGCCTGCTCCCCCGCCCCAGCTCCTCCCACAGGCAGCCCCTCCAGGTTGCACGCTGTTGGTAGTGCTGGCCCCCTGTCTCTGGTCACTGTGTTCCCCCTCCTGGAGCACTGTTCCCATACACCAGGTCTGTTCGGGTGTGACCTCTCTAGTTTAGAGATAGGAGGAGCAGAGGTAGG